AAGCCCTAAACCATTACCAGGAATTTTTTGTGACAGTGCCAGTTGGCACAGATCAGTACCATACAACATACTGGGACAGAAACTTAACTGCATGGACCATCATGGCACATCAATTGCATTCCTGTACTGTCACTGTCTAACTTACTAGCATAGGCAGAAAACATTTGCAGGTAAGCTATTTCTTACACAATTCATGGTCAGTTTCTCATGGTGCCCACACTTTCTCATATATCACAAAGTCACAACAAGCCCAATTTTGAGTTTTGGAAAAATTTCTACTGATCAAAAGACAAACACAAAATCACAAAATGAACAAAATGATGACGGGAAAACTTTTAAATATTTAAGCCATGTATTTGGAACATGACTGAATTTTGAGTTCCAAATCTGTATTCTTTCCCCAGTCATTTCTGAGTAATTAAATAGCCAAGAATAACTACAACAACATTTGTGATTACATACCTGAGAATTCAGACTTTCATCAGCAATATTGAAACGTATGTCACTTGAATGTTGTGCAAATTTAAGTTCCATTGAGGAGAACTCCAATGGTGACTTAAGCACTGTTGGAAAAAATAATTTAATATGCTTCTACAGCTTTATTTTGACAAATATTTCCTTAAAGTCCCTTCATAAAATCATGGTTTTGCACATGTTTAGCAGAAATGTTTCTCTTCTTGCTTTAAAGCTGTATTTTCTTTCTGTTGTTCCCATACTATATACGTAATTACTGTAATTTAACTTTGTCTTATTATGATCCTTTAGTCACACTACAATTATTTAAATTTTGTATCTACCAGACATATAGCATCTCCTCCTAAAGATGCTATAAACAGAGAGCCACATGATTTTCCTATTGTAGATGAATGCATTTACATTTTTGATGGTAATCATCAAAAAATACTTGAAAGATTTTATTTAAAAAAACAGCATTTATTTTCATTTCATATAGCTGAAACAAAGAAACCATCACAAAGGATGAAGTTTAAAGCCAGGACTTAAAAAAAAAAGTCCCAGGACAGGTCTATATTCCCACAGTCTCATTTTGCTTCTTGATTAAACACTGGAAATTAACCTAGCAAGTATACAGTATCCTTTTATTAAAATCTGCAAGTTTGTTTAACACTCAGTGAGGAAGTGCGTTCTCGCATTATGTAAACGACAATACTATCAGTATTTCTCCAAAGCACAGGCATATAAACTCTATAAACTAATATTGTTTCAAAGCAGGAACCTAATCTACTAGAATGCTTCCACCAATATGCAACCATGTCACTTATGAAGTCTTCACCTCTCATAGAAATTGCCTATACAAGGAAAATGCAGCATGACTGAAAGACTAGGATGGAAAGGAAAGGAAATTATCTACCCCACGAAAAAAACTGAGAGACTGATTACTAAAAAAAAAAAAAAGTCAGGTCACATGAGGTCATTACATTGATAATACTGATAACATGTCCTCTTCCTTTGTATCTGGATGAGGTAGGGCTTGTGTTTTTTTCCAGCTGAGTTTTCTGGTTTGTTTCTTGGGTTTTTGTGGTTGCTTTTTTTCCCCCCTCTTTCAGTACCTTCTTACATGCTGATAAGCAGTATTAAAGCTAAAAATCTTACAAGCCTTTAAGAGACCTGCTTTCCTTCCCAGGTGCTGAACAGTCTACAAACTTTAAAAAAAAAATAATTAAAAAAAGACTCATGATGGATTGAAAACATATTGACTACACTGAAGTTAAAAGACTCGGTTGACTGCTTCCAGATCATTGTGATTCCTTTCTCAGGGTGAACAATCCTGAGTGCAAACATCAGATATAAGCTATTGATTTAAGTGCCAAATGTACTGTCCTGTGCAGTCTGAATCCCACTCAACCATAAAAACTGTCTCAGGGGAAAAAAAAAAAAAAATTAAGAGGTGAAAACAAATATGCCATAAAGCACACAGTAGTGAGAATCAGGTATACTTTCAAATCAAAACTTAGAAATTGCAAGATGCATCTCACCCATTTTTACTTTTTTAAATTATAATCTGAAATGATAAATCACTAACAGACAATTTTTAAGTTGTCAGAATGTAATAAAATTAACAAGTTCTTTTTTAACAGTAAAAATAATTTGGCTAAGTTGCCTGCATCTGTATAATTATGTGAAATACTGAGTGGTCAAAACATTTATTTAGACTTCTCTCTTTCCTTGCAGTCCATTAAAATTCCCAGTAAGAATGTAATTCCCATACTCAAATTTAAACAGAAACCACAAGTTATTTCTTCAACTATTTCTTAGAATTGAAAATATTATATATTCATTTTAATACTACGATTACTTGTTGTTAGCCTATACTGGTATTTTGGAAAAAATTCTATGTGGCAGAAGTACAAATCTATAATAAAATTTAGATAAGACTGTCAGTTAGTGAGACTTACTTATTGGATCGATCCATTATTCCACAAAAAAAAGGAAAAGGAAATAATATTTCACTTTTTCTTCAGGTTACATAAATCACTTCTGCACAATAAATTTGTCACTCTGATTCACGATTTTTTAGAGATGTGCTTTCTAATAATCTCACATAAATTTGCACACTTATCTTTCTTCTATGTACTCTTAAACTAAATTTATTTAGAAATGTTTAATATGAATTTACTTCCATCACAGGATCTACAGAAGGTCTCTCAGCTTTCTTTGATATCTTAGAAGATCTCAAAAGTAAGACTTAAGTTAAAGCCCTAAGGAGGGGGGGGAAGAAGAAAAAAATAAAACCTAATAAACTGGAGTTGCTTTCAGCCCACATTATGCTTTTAATTGGCCAAGCCTCCTTCAGTGCTCCCAAGATGTTTAAACATTACACAAACATAATTCCAGGAAGACAATCAGCACTTAAGTTTTATCTCAAATAAACACTGACTATCTGTTAAAAACCAAGGTGAGGAAAGCTAGAGGATTCAAGTATTCACAATGTGTAGGTCTACATGACTACATAGATCACACAGGAGACTAAAGAGAATCAAAAGCTATTTCTAAGAAAAGCAGAGAATAATCACTTAAGATATCAATTTCTTGCTGCAGGCAAGTGTCGTGTAACTTTGTCCATTAACAAATACTGACAGGTCAGAAGAGTGCAATTCTGCACATAATAGCAAACAGAAGGCATTTTAGATACAGCGAGAGCTCCTAGTTTTGACAGGGTAAGACTGAGAAGAAAGACAACCAATGACATACTGCTTTTCTACACTTTTCAGATGCACTGCTGTAAATACTGGAGCCTGCATAAGGTCTAGAAACACTAATGATTGAGTAGAAATAGAAATTAGTTCTGGTAAACTAATTTTTATATATGGCAAGTGGCTATACAAAAAAAAATTAAAAACATGATAATTATGCATAGAAAGTTCAGTTTCACACATATTTAAAAATAGAAAAAAAACCTCTGCAAATTTCCAAGAAATTTACAAATTATACGTCTATCAATCAATAGTAACTCTTTGCAACAAGAATACAAGTAAAAATATCACTACAAATATAAGTATCCACCATCTGCTTAAGTCCCTAGTTTACCTACCAACTGCTTTAACTCTACAGAATGGAAGAGCCACGGCCACCATCTGTGGCTGAGGAGTAACAACGTCCTTTACAGATCCAACAGAAGCTGCAGATGCAGGGCTTGGCTGCGTCAATGGGATGTCAGCCCGAGGAGTATTAACTGGAAGAGTGAAGTCATATGCTGCCACCTAAAGGACAACAATATCATTGTGGTCACTTTACCAAAGAAATTGTAGGTACTTCTTGAACCATTTACTATTCAGAAGAATTATTTACATTAACTTAGGCTCAGATCATGATATCCATCATATTTGAGAAGTCGTGGCA